GAGAGAGAGAGAGAGAGAGAGAGAGAGAGAGAGAGAGAGAGAGAGAGACTCTAGTTGAACAGCGAGTCAATTCGCAGTTATCGAGGTCGATGTCAAGTCGTGATCTGTTTGATGAATGACCACCTTTAAGAAGTGGTAGACCACCTTCAAGAAGTGTCAATCTTCACGAAGTGTCAAACAGTCGGCGGTCAGAGGACTCCACTGCCAAAAACATTCTTAGGGGACCTTGCGGTCGTGTTCAAGATATATTGGCGTAGCACTAGATGCTCACCAAGCAGTTCTGGATGTCGGTTATATCAACACATCATAAGATGCCTTAAAAGCAAGCAGCGGCTGCTTGCAGGATCTTCTACCCGGTATGGATCTTTGAGAGCAGAGTTTCGCACTCCACCGTGAGATCCACGTCGGAAGGGTGGACCTGCCATCCTACCGCTGTTAGCTGTAGTCATCTTGAGGGAGTCGATGAGGTGAGGACCCGGCAAAGAAAACTCTCAGTGGACTTTGCTGCCGTGTTTTTGGAACTTATTGGAGTAGCACCAGATGCTCACCAAGCAGTTCTGGATGTCGGTTATATTGACAAATCATAAGATGCCTAACAAGCAAGCAGCAGCTGCTTGCAGAACCTTCTACCCGGTGTCGATCTTTGAGAGCAGAGTTTCACACTCCACCGTGAGATCCACATCGGATAGGTGGACCTGCCATCCTACCGCTATCAGCTGTAGTCATCTTGAGGGAGTCGACGAGGTGAGGACCCGGCAAAGAACACTGTCAGGGGACTTTGGTGCCATGTTTGTAACATATTGGTGTAGCACTAGATGCTCACTAAGCAGTTCTCGATGTCTGTCATATCGACACATCATAAGATGCCTTACAAGCAAGCACCGGCTGCTTGCAGGACCTTCTACCCGGTGCGGATCTTTGAGAGCAGAGTTTCGCACTCCACCATGAGATCCACACCGGGTAGGCGGACCTGCCATCCTACTGCTGTTGGCTGTAGTCATCTTGAGAGTCGTTGTGGTGAGGATCCGGCAAAGAACACTCTTAGGGGACTTTGCTGCCGTGTTTGGAACTTATTGACGTAGCACTAGATGCTCACCAAGCAGTTCTGGATGTCGGTTATATCGACACATCATAAGATGCCTTACAAGCAAGCAGCGGCTGCTTGTAGGATCTTCTACCCGGTGTGGATCTTTGAGAGCAGAGTTTCGCACTCCACCGTGAGATCCACATCGGATAGGCGGACCTGCCATCCTACCGCTGTTGGCTGTAGTCATCTTGAGAGTCGATGAGGTGAGGACCCGACGATGCTCCAATTGGGACGTGCTCTTGTTTCGTGATGTGCAGATGCTTACCGGCGGTGCGTTCGATCCCCTCCTCGACGTGAAGCAAAATGCGAAAGAATTGCTCAGGGCTCACACCAGAAGTGCGATTGAACTCGCACTTTGATGGAGAAGCAGTTGCGCAGTCCATCAGCGCGACGATTTAATATGGACATTGACTTGTCATTTGTATATCACAGGTTGAAAACGCCATCAAATCTTTCTGTGTAGAAGATTCATATCCATTCATACAAGTATCTCTTGTCATCACAAATATCGAGATGAAAACATCTCAAGTCAAATTGCAAAGCACACAGAGACATCGCTAACATCGAGGTGAAAACGTCTCAAGTTGCGCACTGTTTTTCCAAAGGTGAAGTCTCAGAGCAGACGATCAGTTTACAGAAACCATTCTATGCAGAAAATTCATTCAAGGGCAAATTGCAAAGCACAGAGACTTTCCAAATTGAACGCAAAACATCATACAATGCCACATTGCAAAGTGCACGGAGGCTTTCCAAAAATCACAAAGTACATGGAGCCAAAGTGCGAATATGTTCTCATTTCCCATATGGAACCAACAGTTCAATCACAAATGCACAACATCCAAAGTGCGAATATGTTCGCATTTCTCATACGGAAACAACAGCCAGCATCCAGTGGAGAGCACGAGATGTATTCTGGGGATAACAAAATTGGCAATCATTTAGTGCACCGCTGAATCCGTTAAACAACTTCAAGCACAAGTCAAATTGCAAAGCACATAGAGACATCGCAAACATCGAGGTGAAAACATCTCAAGTTGCCTAGTGTTTTTCAAAAGGTGAAGTCTCACAGCACACGAACAGGTACCAGAAACCATTCAATGCAGAAAATTCATTCGAGGGCAAATTACAAAGCACACAGAGACGTTTCAAAAAGTCATTGAACGCAAAATATCATACAATCTCACATTGCAAAGTGCACAGAGGCTTTCCAAATATCACAAAGTACATGGAGCCAAAGTGCGAATATGTTCTCATTTCGCATATGGAACCAACAGTTCAATCACAAATGTACGACATCCGAAGTGCGAATATGTTCGCATTTCTCATACGGAAACAACAACCAGCATTCCGTGGAGAGCACGAGATGTATTCCGGGGATAACAAAATTGGTGATCATTCAGTGCACCGCTGAATCCGTAAAACAACTTCAAGCACACATACATTCTGGCGACAATTGGTTTCCGAATGGAGAACAAGTTCGCAACAGTCATAAGGAACCAACAGACAACATTCAATCGAGACAAGCAGAGGGGGTGAACTGTAAAACAGGGCGGCACACGCAGAACAAGGGTGAGCCAAAACATATGAAAGCTGGTTGGTCGGGGTGGGGCGGGGGAGAGGGGATTTCACACCACAAAGTCTCGCGAACGAAAGAGATAAACGCGAAACAATTTGGCGACCAAGAATAAATCGTCGATATCTTTCACATGAGTAATAGAGGAGCACAACCTCGAAACGAACAAACGCAGCACGGTGTTGCCGCGGTCTTACAGAACATAAGGAGAACAACCCGAAAATAAACAAATGGAGCATAAAGTTGGGATATTCACATCCGATATGTAAGCGTCTACTTAAAAGGAACTGCACCACGTGGCTGGAATATTTACATCGGCATTTGAGCTTCTACTTCACGTAAGCGTCCGCTGCTACCCTCTAGCTGATATTGCGCAGCAAGCAATGAGAACAACCCGAAAACAAACAAAGGAAGCACGGCGCTGCCGAAAGTCCTACGAGTAAAGATAACAGGTTCCACGAAATGAACAACCCTTAAAAAATTGATACAGCACAAGGCTGGGATATTCACATCGACACCTAAGCCTGTACTTGACAAAAACGTCCACTGCAACCCGGCACCTCATGAAAACAACAGCACAACTCGAACCGACTGACTGCTAGATCAAGTGGGAATAGATTCACACTTCTGCTTATGGTTTTTCGAAAAAAAACTACGCGTATTTTAACAACAAGGGTATGATTCAGAGCCTTGGAGTATGTCCACCGTAATCCTCAGCCTGATGTTTGCAATGTCGGTTTGGGCTATCGGAAATGGTGGCGGATAGTCGTGTGCAAGAAAAGAAGCGAAGGCGAGCATGAAAACACCGCAACTCGACCCGTCCGACTGTTGAGGGACACCATGAGCAACCACCTTGGGCGCTGGGAGATCCAGTTTGGCTTGTTCACCATATCGACAAACCGCTTCGTCACGGAGGTATTGCGTAAAGTTGGCAAGCATATCGGCAGAAAAACCGCCATCGTCTTGCAGGAGGGAGTCGTAGTACCCCAGCCCTTGTTCTCGGACATATAATAGGGTCCAATGCACTCGATTTTTATGGACAGGAATCAAGACCATGCCGTACGAGAAAATATCCACATCTTTTGTCCATTTCGCAACCCTTTCATGTCGATAGCCGCCACCGACGAGCTTGGTATAGAAAAAGGGACTGAAAATGTAAAGAGAGGGACCCCCAGGGAACGCAGCGTTGGCATGCAAGGCCCAGTACGACTCCACCACCTCGTCGGAAAGCCATCCCCCCTATACAAGAGTTTGAAGACTTTTTCTGGTCAACGGAATCGAACTGGGACCTCTGCGAACCGAGGAAACCACCTCCTGGCCGTTGCTGAAATCTCCGCAGATGTCCTGCAACATTCTGAAGTCCGTAGCGCTAAGCTCCTCAGTAGGCAAGGGAACGCGAAAACATGATGTAGCGCCAGTTGCACAAACACCCACGAACAAGTGTGAGGAGTGAGCACAAACCCCGGGGCAGAATGGCTAAGAACTGTCTGCCCTTTTCCCAGAAAAGTTGTATCCCCGACTGTTGAATGTGTCCTTCGCGATGTACTTAGGACATGGGTCTTTCAAGACACCCCGTTCGCCATCGTCATCAGACCCATCAGACAAAGCAGTAACGCTCTCAATAGACGCAGCCAAATGTTTCCGCAAACCTTCCTCCTTATTTATTCCACAAGCCTTCAACCCTGACAACTCTCCGGGAAAGGCGAGGCATCTGGACCCTTTTAAACAACCCTACACTTGACGACTGCTTCGGTAAAGCGGCCAATGACCTCCCTGAAAGACGTTTCTTGCGCACGACTTTTAACGGCTTCATGGGCAGGGACATTAACAACCTCACACCTGTAGAACATAGAAAACAACCCGCAACCCACAAGCTTGTTTTTAACCAGTGGTAATAGGTACATTAGCCCATGACATCAATTTGGACGAATACAGAGCTGGCTACTGACAGATATGCGAGTGGTCCTATTCACAAATCTTACCGTGCTCGGGAGCCCTTTGAGGGAACTCGCCCTCCTGTCGCGCCACTGCGCCAACGTCCACGGACGATTCGAGGTGCTGGACCTCGGCCACGTCTGTGTCGCTAACCAACTCGGTGGCAACTGAGTCGCTTGGCAAGTCGATGGCTTCATGAAGCACCATTTCCCGACCGGTACTGAGGACAGATGCTCGATCACCCGGTTTGGCACCGCAACGGGTGGACGGAGAATCATGATCTTTCCGCTCTGGATCCATCTTGATGCTGACGGCCACCTCATCGCCTTCCACACAGGATTCGGCGTTCTGGATCTCGGCCACGACTGAGTCGCTAACCAGCTCGGTGGCTGCCGAGTCGTCACCCAACTCTATGGCTTCATGAATCACCATTCCCCGAGTGGTGCTCAGGACAGATGCTCGACCACCCTGTTCTTCACCGCAACGGGTGGGCGAAGAATCACCATCTTTCCGCTGTGGATCCGTCCGGATGTCGACAATCACCTCACCACCTTCCACCACGGGTTCTCCGCCTTTCTCATCGCCATGAACCCGCGCTTCCACCGCGGGTTCTTCTTCGTCTTCGTCGTCACCAAGAACGGGAGCTTGCACGAACGTCCACTGACCTCCCTTAACGACACCCTCTCGCGTCGTGGCCACAGCCGAGCGATTGTGCAGAACCTCTTCGGACGTCCCGATCACCAGCGCTCGTGCGTGGAGCCACTTCACGTCTTCACGATCCGGCCTGTGTCGAGTCTCCTTTCCCCGCTGTACAGCATGCATTTCCCCCGGAGCTCCTTCACTCTCGCTGTCAGTGTCCACGGACGCACCCTCCGAAGCATGACGTTCACACTCGCTACCCCTGGTCTCCAACACTTTGCGAGACTACCAGCGTTTAGTCTCCTCTTCCCGATGTACAGCACGCGTTCCCGGATAGCGCTCGTCTTCCCCAGGAGTGTGACGTTTGTTCTCGCTACCCCCGGTCTCCAACACTCCTGGAGCGGGCCCCTCTAGCACGTCGCGAGACCGTCAGTCTCGAGTCTCAATACATGAGAAGGGAGGCGAGCAGTGTAACCCTGTGTCCAAATGAAGATGCGGGGGCCAGGACGTCACATTTTCTTGGCCCCGCGGAACTGTTGCGTGAGGAGCACTTATGGCGGAGGGCGACGTCAGCAAATCCGAATGTATTCGGAGTTTGTGGCGGTCGCCCAAGCCGAGGGAACCGGAGGTCGCACCTTCGCTCCTTCGCAATGCAGGCATCCCACCCTCCAGGCAAAACGAAGACGCGCCCTCTTTCAGGAGCAAGATGTTGAACACAGGAGACCTCTGCTGTGCACAACGGGATGGACTCTCCTGGGCAATAGGAAACAAACTCCTCGCAGACAAGTGCGAATCTACTCGCACTTGATCAGACGTCAGGGTGGCCTCGTCTCGCATGTCGGAATCTCGACTCCCTACGCAGTGGGGGTCAGTTTCCATATACTGGGGACTCCCGGACGTTCTACGCTTTCCGCCCGACCCCTTTCCGCCCGACCCCTTCCCGCCCGACCCCTTTCCGCCCGACCCCTTTCCGTCGGACCCCTTTCCGCCGGACGCCTCCTCTACGGACGATGTCTCGCCCGTCCCCTTTTCGGCAAACTGTGAGCCGTCTCCTCCGCCACCTCCGCCGTCTCCTTCGTCTCCTCCACCACCCCCTCCCGGATGCTGACCGACCGATGGAGGTTGCGGCATGCGCCAGTCAATGCCACCAGACAATGTCGTTTCGAGTGCGTAGAAAGGCGCTCGAAACCCCAACATGTTGTTGACGTACAACTCATGTAGCTTTTGTTCCGCATACGCATCGACGTCCGGATCATTCCTCTCAGGGTTCATGAGACTCAAATGCTCCACCAGAGCAGTTCTTGCCTTTCTCTTAAATGCACCCGCTCCCAGTCTCTTCAATCCACTCCACTTGCCATCGGCCTCCTTTATTGCCATGACCCATATTCCATTCCTCACAGCAGGTTGGAATATCCTCGGGTGCCAGACGACGTTGTGTCCCCAGACATCCTCCGACGTGAACCGGTGATGCTTGCCGAAGAAGTAGAGTCTGTCATTCTGCCAAGTGTCATGGTCCACAGGGAGCCTGTCACAAGGTTCGTGATCATAGTCTCTCTCTTCCTCCTCGTCATCAGACGATTGGTTGTCGACTGGTTCGCCCCGAAACACACGCTTCAAACCGGCAGGGGACGTGATATGTCTCCGAGGGCCACCTTCCTCTTCATCACCAACCTGTCCAACCACCCGAGGAAGTGGCATGGACTCAAAATCGAAGGTTTCGGAGTCGCTCATCTCCTTCATGTCTTCAACGTCGAAAGGGTCCTCCTCGTCAAACTGTGACTTGTAGTTTTCGAGAGTGAGCGGTTCGGCCAGCATGAAGTAAACGTGCTCCAGCCTTCTCAAGAAGTGCGAGACAGACTCCCTGGGTGCACCGTGGTATCCATTGAGCACAGCGAACACCAGGTTTCTCCGTCGACTGTATTCGAGGTCGGTTGGACCAAGCGGTCCGGGTCCGAAAAGGAAGTCCCAAACGTCCGTCCTTTTGTTCCCCGACAATTTCCAATACATGTCACGTTTGGGATCCCAGTTTCGTTCGCAGGTGGTGCGGACAAACTCGCAAGCATTGCAAGTGTCTGCAACGCGTGTCTTCACGAACTCGTGAAGGTAGTCGATCATCCTCGCCTCCTTCTCCAACGCGATGACGTTCCAACGGGTGCGGAGGAGTCCCCACACGACAGACGCATGCGCCTTCCCAAAGAAAAAAACAGTTTGCCCAACTTTGCAAAAGTTTTCGAGTAGACCAAGTAGACGGGACGGGTTTCGCTCCATCTCCCCGTGAGCAGGTCCTTGAGAACTTCTCACGCCACCGTCCTCCCACATGCTACGAGAGAACCTTTCCTCTTCCGCCACGTCGAAACACGCCACAGCCTGTCCTGATGGGTCCGACGAATACACAGGTTTCGAGCGGGCCACCACCGTGTGTTTGGTCGGACTAGGACCTTGGGAACGGGAAGCCTTTGTCGGGCTACTGGCCAAGTAGACTGCGTATGTGTTGTCTTCCAGCTTCTCGCCATTAAATATCACGTACAGGCGGTCACACTCCTCAACCAGCATATTGCCTTCCCGGACATTGGCCTGCTTTTGTGCATTACGTACCCACTTCCCTGTCCTGACGTGATGGACGCTAAGCCTGGCCATGCCTTTCAAGAAACTGAGTTCCCAACGAGAGGGGAAAAAGATCACAATTGCCCAGTGTGTTGGCGAAAGTGTTTGTAGAAGGCCTTGCAAGTTGGCGAAATCGTCTTCTCGCCAGTCTGTGAGGAGTGTGGGATCACACAAATCGAGGGCGTACAGGTTGCGCACGTAATGTCGCACAACCTCACGGATCGCAGTGACATGACTGTGAGTTTGGGAAGGCGGGAAAGCGGAAGGAATTAGGCTGGTCACCCGGTTGAGGTCGGGCCATTTGATGTGCCTCACATCCCCGCTGACCCTGATCGTGTCTCGAACTTCTTCTTCCGTCCGTCGCAAGATGGAACGGACAAACTTTTCGAAAGATTTAGGGAACCTGTCATCATCGTACAATCTCTTTGCGTCGTCGATGGACTCCTTCTCGTGTGGAAGAGTACGTTTGCAAGTGTTCACGTACTCCACTACACCCTGGAAATGCTTTCGCATTTCGACCCACACCTCTTTCGTGAGGCCCTGCGGCCCGAACTCCTCCAGAAGCTTCCCCTCGGTCCGAAAAAATGGGCTCCCGTGGGGCTAAACACGTTCGTTCTGCTCCGTTTCAAAGAACAAGATGTAGTGGAAGATACGGAGCATCACACGGTCCACTTTCGTCATCGCGACCATTTCTTTAATTCCAGGTTTATGCTGACGCTTCAGATGGTCGCCCACGGATTGCACGAACACTCCCCTTAGTGCGAGAATGTCGTCGAGGATCGACAGTTTCTCGACATCGGCCATGTCGGCGAGAGACTGCCGACAGAACATGTCTGCCTCCTTCACAACCACGAAAAACTTGTCGTCCGTTTGCATTTTCTTTTTGGTCGGAGGCGGCGGGACCCGGACCAGCCACCCCATCTTCGTTTCACCATCCGCCGCTTTCATGCCAATTTCAGGAATTGCTTGCAGACCCGGAGATTTGTCTGGCATGTATTTACCCGGCCTCGACAATGGCGTTTTGCCGTCGCCGCCCAACAACTTCCCCTCCGCCCATTTCGCGTAGAACTCCATGGCTTTGCGAAAAACGTCATCACCGGCCGTCACGACCGGCATCCACTGCCTCAATGCATTGCAAACGGCAGCAACAGAGTCCTTGTCGGCGAGCGACAAATCTTTTTTTGCCAACGTCCAGTGAGCTTCGTTCGGGCTCTTTCCCAAAAGCAGCTTCTGGAATTCGAAAAACTTTTGTTTTTCGGCCTCCTTACCGAAAGGGTTCCCTTGAATGGCCATCGACGTTCCTTCTTTTTCCCATGCCTCCCGCATGTCCAAGAACGTGGCCTTCTGCGATCGCTGCTTAGACATCTTGTGTCTCGTGTTCTCGTTGAGACTGACCTGCCTATACCCCGCGAAAGCTCGGTCGGAGAACCACACTACTCTCGCCGCCCAGGAGTGCATCTTCCACAAATCGAATATTGGCTCACCCTCCAACTCCTTCACAGCAGCCACGGTGTGTTGTCCGTTAACAGGGTAATAGTAGTACTTGTCCTTGTCCTCCGGCTTGAAGTCATCTTTGTGAACCCTGTTCGCTATCTCCGGCCTACGCGTCACCGACTTGTAGATGGGTGCCATAACCAAAGGGTTTTTCGTCCAGATATTCCCCCTTTTCTCGCGGTATTGACTCAGCATCGCAGCCTTGATGTCGTCCACAGTTTTCCGATTTAGACTGCGGTGGTTGTAATATTTTTCCCAAGACGGGATGTCGCAAACCTTCCTGGGGTCGATGAGCAGTTGGACGGGGAGCTCCTTCTCCACGATCTCACCACCATCGTTCCGCTCATATTCGAGCCAGAACGCTGCCGCTTCGTCGCACTCCTCACCGACAGGCCGTTCGCCCCCGCTCACCGCCTCAGCAGTCTTCCACCTTCGAGGTTTCTTCTGGCCATTGCCTTCTTCAACTGCCACTTTCCGTTTCGATTTCCCCGAAGGTTCTCCCGCGGCCGCAGCGTCTGGATCAGCCGAGTCTCCTCACCCACGACTTGTCCTTCGCGGATGGTCAAACCGTTGGGCCTCCTCGCTTTCTTACTTGCCGYCCCACCGTCTTCCTTCGTCGGCCTCTTTCCCGAGGCACGTTCTCCGTCGTCACCTCCATCCCCGCCCATCACCGCCTCTGGTTTTCCTCTCATCCTCTTCATGCGGAGGGTTCCTTCCGCCACCTCCTCTTGCACCATCCTCTGTCGCTCGCTCTTCTTCTCCGAAGGAGTCTGCTCCCCGCCAGAGCTTTCGCAGACAGCGCCCATCCCTTCAGCCTCATTCCCTCCGACATCTAGCCCCGATCTGCTTGAATCTCTTATCGTCTCATCTCGAAGCGAATACGTGTCGTCGCCGCAGCGGACCTTGGTAAGTTTCGGAGTACCGACCCATTGAGTCCCTGTACCCTGAGAATGCAAGTCCGACGTGTTCCTAGGAGCATCCCGGCCGACCTGCGTGTGAACGTTGCGTCCCTTGACCTGACCCCCAACATCTTGAATCGGACTCCCGCACCCCACTGCCGTACTTGGAGTTTTTTTAGCCAAGTCGGACGACCCCTCACGGCCCTCACGGGGTGGCAGAAGCCGGAAAACATGCTCTGGCGGAAGAACCGGGCGTTCTTTCGGCACCATCATCGCGAGATCGAGATATTGCTCTGGCGATGGAAGACGCTTGTTGCCGCCATCGTAAAGGCCTTTGAAGTGAGAGCACAACGGCATGTTCGAGCCGTACCTCGCTAAACTCTTGATGGTCACCAGCACACCTTTAACACCTCTGATAGGCAGTCTGCACTCGTCGTACAAGCCGTTAGTGTGCAGCTTGAGCAAACCTCCAGGAGTCTTAGCGCACGAGACGACGGTACCGAGAGGAACAACGTTGACCGCTCCCCCAGCGTCTGTAACGCAAGTGGGTAGCATGAAAACAACTGGCCCAAAAAAGTCCCCCTGAACAACGAAGTTCAAAAACCATTGTGCTCCCTTTGCGTGCATATACTGAGGAATAGGTTGCTGTACAGATCGTCCCTCCCCGGGGGCAGATGGTCCAACGCTTGTGGATGTGTTCTTTGCGGACGCCATTGTATTCCCACCCGTTGACTAGCACGCCCAACCTCAGACCAACTCGGATGACTAATACGCCCAACCCCAGACCGCTACAAAAGTGAAGTGCGAACTAACTCGAACTTAACGAAATGGAGGACGAAAAGGACGTAAGAGATGGGTGTTCGAAATGCACACGAAGTCACAACAATCTGGTGAAGGATAGGAAAGACAAAAGTTCGGAGGGAAGACGATAACTGTTCGGAAAGATTGCGATCCAACTAGATGCCCTCGAAACGAGTAAGATGTGGTTTATTGACAAGTGCGAAGGGTGTCGACAAGTGCGAACTAACTCGCAGTTCTGTAGACAAGACAACAATGGCAACCCGCTGCACTAGGGGAAAGTGCGAACTAACTCGGAATTGTGGAACTGAAGACCTAAAAGACGCACGAAACGAGTAAGATGTGGTTTATCGACAAGTGCGAATCGACAAGTGAGAACTAACTCGCAGTTTTGCTAACAGGACGACAATTGCAACCCGAAGTACAACGGGAAAGTACGAACTGACTCCGAATTGTGGAACGAAAGTCCTGGTTTATCGACAATTGCGAAGGGTTTCGACAAGTGCGAACTAACTCGTAGTTCTGTAGACAAGACAATAATGGCGATGCGCAGCACTAGGGGAAAGTACGAACTAACTCGGAATTCTGGAAGTGAAGACCTGAAAGCCGCACGGGTTGGGTTGTCAGCTCTCCAGCAGTGTTGCTCAAAAAGTGCGAACTAACTCGCATTTGTGGAATTAAAGAACTGCCTTTAATGAAATATGTGTCTAACCTTGGGAAAACTGCGAATAACCTCGCAGTTGTCACTCCTCGAACACTGTACGTCGCAAACTGCGAACTGACTTACAATATCTCTCTCTCTATATATGTATCTATACATATATATATATATATTAGGTCGGCGACCTCACAAGGGACAGGTGAGCGAAAATCGGGAATTGATTCGGTGTTCAGTGTAGCAATATATCTCTATATATACATATATGTATCTATATCTTTATATGTATATGTAGATATCAGGTCGGCGACCTCACAAGGGACAAGTGAGCGAAAATTGGGAATTGATTCGGTGTTCAGTGTAGAAACTAGGTATTAATTCGGGGTTCGCCATGCGCAGCGACGACTGCAAGTTGCGAAGGGGATCGAGTAGCTTTATACGAACATTATCGTGGCTATGGCGAAAGGTAATCGAGCTGCGGAACACGGATCGGCTATGGCGGACGGAGGTGGAGGGTGGAGAAAAGAGATCAGAGCACGTCCACTGGCGAAACAACAAAACCTGGAATTGATTCGGGGTTCAACAGAACGCGGTTGCGGCGTTATATCCTGCAGGTATAGACAGGGCATCTGGGAATGTGTTCGGACGTTGGACACAGAATATGACAACTCAAGTTACCTGATTTTACCTTCGTCGTGCGTTGAGCGAGCAACCAACCACCGAACCAGCTATGGTGGAGGGATATCGAGCTAGGAAGAGCGAAGACCGAGGAGCGAAGAACGAACCGAACACAATGTGGCAACTGCGGACGGAGCGAAGAGTGAGCGGGCTATGGCAGAAGGTGGTGGGGGATGAAGACCAAATATCAGAACGCGCATGGAAGCGATAGCGCGACTTGATCTGTGGAGCGCCAACAAAAGGGATAACTCGAGGGCTGGCCTTTTATACTTTGTTGCAGCAGGCCTCGCGTCGGGATTAAGGTGGGGCCGAATCGATTCGCATATCGCACGCCTGGGCCCATAAAACGCCATCAAGGTGGGGCCGAATCGATTCGCGTATCGCACCCCTGGGCCCATAAAACACTAGGGCCTATAAACGGTAAGGGGTACCTGAAATTGTGAGCTGTCGATGAACAATTTTCAACTGCGCAGATGAACGGAGCCACTGTTATGCCAGTGGCCCCAAAATCTCTGTCTAATCCGGCGTGCAATAATGTGACAGTTCTCGAAAACAAGGGGCAGGCAATGTCATTTTCGCAGTTGTAATCTGGACCGTCGATCGGCATGATCCAATGCACGAGGTTAGGCGCAAGAATCTATAAGGTGCAACGATTCGTTGTGCGCCGAGGCGGTTCGTTGCGCGCCGAGGCCAGGCGACGGTTTATTTTCCGCCGAGGCGTGGCGATTCGTTGTGCGCCGAGGTCAAAAACACCGGAAATCTATAAGTTCCGGTGTCGCTGTCATTCGAACATTTTGCAAATGTCAACGGCCTTCGATATCGATGCGCTTAGCCATGCACCATCGTTATCGATGCGCTTAGCTCATCACCATCGCCAACGCTCGCCATGCACCATCGTCATCGATGCGCTTAGCTCATTGCCATCGCGACGCAGAGCTATATCCCCCACCGCAGCCGTCGCGCTCGCCTGACCATCGCAGCGCTAACAATCGCCATCACTCTCATCGCAGCGCTGACCATCACTGTGCCATCCCAACGCTGGTACCATAGTTGTCATCGCAACATTGGTTCCATCACTGCGCCATCTCTCAATCGGTGCGCCATCGCTATCGCTGCCATCGCTATCGCTGCCATCGCTATCGCTATCGCTGCCTTTCGCTATCGGTGTTCCATCGCTGCGCCATCGCTATCGCTGTTCCATTGTCGCGCCATCACTTTCCACCAGTGCGCCATCGCTGCGCAATCGCTATCGTTGTTCCATCGCTGCCATCGCTATTGCTATCACTACATTGTAACGCGTTCCATCGCCACGCCATCGCTCTCCACCGGTGCGCCATCGCTCTCCACCGCAGCGCTGGCCATCGCTATCGAAGCTCCGGCCAGTGTTATCCCACCGCAGCGCTGCGCGATTTCTCTCTCCATCGCCGCACGATCTCCCTCTATCGCCGAGTGATCACTCTCCATCTCACTCCATCACTGCGCGATCTCTCTCGACAACCGGGCAACCTCCATCCTTGCCCCAGAGGCTCTCCATTACTCGTGCGTGATCCCGCCATCGCCATTGTATTGTTGTTTCAGGCCGTCGTCGGTGCAGCCGCCCATCACTGTGGAATCGCACGAAACAGGTGACAGGTATGCTTAACGAAGGTTTAACTCGATGGAACTGATGTTGTGCAATAACAAATCTTGGTCATCGTTGTGCCTTCTCTCTCCATCGCTGCGACATCGCTAACCATTGTTGCGCGTCCTCTCTCCATCTCTCTCCACCGATGCACGATCTCTACCGACCTTTCGTCATCTATCCCCATCACTGCGGTATCTTTCCTAATCTATCTCCTTCGTCATCCATCTCCTTCGGTGCACTATCTTTCCTAATCTATCTCCTTCGTCATCTATCTCCATCGCTGTGCTATCTTTCCTAATCTATCTCCATCGTCATCTGTCTGCTTCGGTGCACCATCTTTCTCCATTGTTGTGCTATCGCTAACCATCGTTGCGCCTGCTATCTCCATTGCTGCGCCATGTTTCTCCATCGGTGCGCAATCTCTCTCTCTCGCTGCGGCACACCTCCCGATCAGTTCACGATCTATTTTCCTTCCTGCTCCATCCACCTTCTTCCCCGGAGTATACAACGCACTTTCATTATGGTTGTCTTTAGAGTGAAAGATGACCGGAATTCAGCTGTAATGACCGGACGTTGTATTCGGGGGAAGACTTTGACTCCATCCATCTCTCTTGGTGCGCCATCTTTCTCATTCGGTGCGCCATCTCTCTCCATGTATTTTCATCGATGCGTGGTTTGCCCATCGCTTCGCAATCTTTCTCCATCTTAAAAAATAGCACGCCATCTTTCCCTATTCTCTCTTGCGATGATCATCCATTGTTTGCAAGTGCGAATTTATTCGCTCTTCAATCAACCATCCGCCTAAATTTCTTACTCTATAGTCCAAAAGTCCCAGTTTCATAGTGGAAATGTTTGTCTGCAAGTGCGAATTTATTCGCTCTTCAACCAACCATCCCCCCAAATTTATGACTCTTTAGTCCATAAGCCCCAGTTTCATAATGGAAATGCTCGTTTGCAAGTGCGAATTTATTCGCTCTTCAACCATCCATCCCCCTAAATTTGTTCCTCTTTAGTCGGTAATTCGCGTTTCTTCTCGGCCCAAAAGAATGAAGTCCTTTTGTATTTGCGAGTTAACTCACCACTGAACCAACCACGAAGGCAATTTCTTATTGCACGGCGTAATCGAAATGTTCCTATGAAGTGCGAATTTTTTGGCACTTGAAATTTCTCGCTGTTTAGTGGATAATACTGAATCGACTCGCACTTGTGTTCGCTCTTGTTCCAACCATGAACTTAATTTCTTACTGTACGTTGAATAAGTCCGAATCATCTCGCATTTGTACTCTCGCCTGAAAGAGTGTGAGTTTACTCGGACATATCCAAACCACTTGCACACTGAACGAGTGGGTGAGGAATCGGACTTGAGATACCACTTGAGCCTCACATCAGGGTCCGACAAAACGATATGGATTCAAATGTTGTTGTTCCACTCTTTTGTGATAAATATTTGAAATGTGAGTTTGCTCCCTCTTGTTTATTTCACTGACCTCGTCATACGTTGACGTGATTTTCTTGTTGTACAGTTTCCGTGTGAATCGTCTCTTCAAATGGTTGTCCAATCCGTCCACTGTGTCACGCCACCGCCACCGTCACGACAACACGGAGAAGACGATGTTCGAGAACGTAGTTCTTGTGACAGCAGCCCGGAAGCTCCCTCTGATCGGCATTGCGGTTTGAAAAGGGAGTTCTCGATGTTGACCCCGACGAATCATTCAGGCTCGTTTACGACGTCCGCCCGGCGTCGTTTTGTTTGCTTTACCGACGTTCCCGACGGTCAGCGCGTATCTACAGCGCTAATCCCCGGTAGTGAGGGTGTTCGGGATGTCGAGACGTTTCCCGGTGGGTGGATGTTCGAGGACACAGATTTATGTGGTGTATCCGAAACGACTGGATCAGAGCTCGTGCGGACAGCGGGTAGACTGTCAGAAAGCATTGAAGTTACCCAACCCCTAGCATTTGACTACAGTCGGTCGTTGGTGGACATAGACTTCTGCGGTACGCCCGATAGAAACGGATCTGATCGGGAACATTGCGGTGCATTTGGTAGAAACGGGTATGATAGGGACCACGCAACGGTGCGAGTGTGTGGAAGTGCAAAGATAGGTAAGAGAATTGCATGTGAAGCCGAAATAGTTGGCTCTCCGTCGATGACAGCGACGGGTGCAATGGAAAATTGGCAGACTGGTTTTTTAGACACAAATTTCTACAGTTCATTGGAATCCTCCCAATCTGATTTGTCGAGAACCGCTCCCACGGACAGATCGAAATTCCTAGGTGCAGCGCACAGGTCCCCGACCAAAAGTCAACCTGGAACTCCCGAAGCAGTCCTTCAAGTTTTGTCCCATCCCCTACCTGGAGAAAGGAGAAGATATAATCGGAAAAATAGGCCGGTTAGAAGGTCAGAGCATTCGAAGAGGGCCAAAAGTCGATTGAATGAAACCAACATTGCGCTCGTCCCGACGTACAAATATTGTAAGAACAAGTGTCTTCGGGTCTTGACCATTGACGATATCAAACCGGTGCGCGAAGCCTATTACGAAATGTCCCTCGAAAGGAGGATCGAGTGGTGGATGCAAACCCTCGACAATTTCACTATCCTCGACGGCGGTCTGGAAAGAGTCCAACCAGTGCAGTGCAAACGTCGTGTGTGCATCGCCGGTTGGTGCAAAATAATAGGGATATGTCGAAACACATTTCGTCGTTATAGCAAGTGCAAGTCGGACGGGGTCGTCCGTGGCCGTCATGGTCGATGGGGATTGTTGAACCCGAGACCGGAGTATGTGAGCATGCTGGCTCGTGTGACAAGGTTCATGGAAGAACATGGAGATGCTATGCCTAACGAAATGGTTGTGAGAGGGACCTCACAACGACCTAAAGTTAGGCTCCCTGCTTATTTCACGAAGCTCCTTGTATACGAGTCCATCAAGGCGGATTTGGAAGCGGCGGGTCAGACCGTCATTTCGGAGCAAGTCTTCTACTTCAT